TTCAGTATGGTGAGTGTTGATTTATAATACTCGTACCTTAGCAGTACTGCTCTAGTCTCCATCATGAGCTGATCAAACTTGTTGAAATTTCGGGCAGCTGCATTGTCGTCAGTGGAGAGCGTGTCTGTAATATTAGATTGATTGTCCCCAGGCATCAAGTAGTCCAACCAATGATGGGGACTTCCTGTGCTCATGAAAATTTTAATTATTTGTGTAGTAGTGTCACGAAGTACGGTTGTATTAAAGACATCTCGCAACTGTTTTCTGCAACCAAGAAAATCAACAAAGAATATCAATCACGTCTGAGAAAGTATCGAAAGAGCTAGTAATACAAGGCATAGTTGTGATCGATCAAACGAAATCTCTGTAAAAGATTCTCAAACAATGTTTTGGGAGAACTATGCTGCCAGTTTACTCGACAGCAGAGCTTGGAATCGAAAACGTTTATTTATTTTTTTTTCAGAACCCTGTTATTTCACAACCAGGTTCCTCGTTTAGTCTCGAGGAAAATTCTCAAAAAATATTTTTTCTGAAATTATAGTAGAACAAACCCCTTACCTCTTAAGAACTTCTCCTACTGCTACCTGCAATTTAGGAATCAAGGCATTCAGACCATAATTACAGAGAAAATCAGAGATGGCCAGAAATTTCTGTTGGTCTTCTCTATTGATGAGGTCAGCCTCCTCCTGCGGAATTATGAACCACAAGGACCAATATAAGAGAAGAGAACAAGGAGTCAACAAATAACTAAACGGTAACACACACACGAGGCTTTCTAGTTATGATATCGAAAAATTTAGTATCTCATATCATATTTAGAAGCCTTCATCCGGCCGAAGGATTGGCATATATTGTTAGGAATTACGACTCTCCACAATGGTATGATATTGTCCACTTTGAGTATAAACTCTCATGGCTTTGCTTTGGGCTTCCCCAAAAGGCCTCATACCAATGGAGATAGTATTCCTCATTTATAAACCCATGATCTTCCACTAAATTAACCAATGTGGGACTCACTCCCAATAATCCTCAACATATATTTCGGTTAAGAATTCAAATGTTATAAATTAAGGAGAAAAAACATAGGCTAAAAAAGAATTTGTTATCAAACAGGATGTGGTAATTCCAAGAATGACAGTGCTGAAAACAGTTCATAAAAGTACGAAGTAGCAATAATAGCAGGCCTTACAAGCAACTGGGAGCTACCAAGACCACGGGCAGTATCGATGTACATATGTCTTCCTAAGATGTTGACTTGAACTCTAATGTACAAACTTAACACAGTTATTGCCCAGAGTGATATCACCATCTTTGTGAAGCCTGGAAAACACATTCCAACCATGTCAGGCGACTGTATTCAGCTAAAAACCAGAAAATATAAACACCAGAGTGAGGTCGCTTCATACTTAGTATTTTGAGGTTTTCCCATAAATCAAGCTTCTCAGCTAATGTCAAAGTGTTTCGCTCGCCCTTCCCCATCATTAATCTCTCTGTCAGGTGTGAAAGATCCAAATCTTCCTCTATCCGATTATGTAAATGTTGTAAAGCATGAGGCAACGTCGTTGTATCAGCTATTCTTTGAATGTTCTCAAAATGAGCTTGTATTCTGCATGAACAAACCCGACAAACACAAAAGTTAAAGAACCCAGAAAACAGATACTGATAAAAAGAAGGGAAGAAAAAGTAAGCATCTCTTAACTGAGCTTTAATGAGCTCATCTGCTTCACGTTCATTATCCAACTCTTTCTGGATATCATGAAGCCTTCGACTGTAATAGTCATATTGTCGGTACAGAAAATACCCGCTTCCTAAAACTCCAGCTGTAATTAAAATCTTCCTCTTATACCTTTTCCAGAAATCCCTGCTCACAATATGTTAGAAATAATAAGACATGATGAAATGGGAGAAACCAAACAATTTTCAAAGTATCAACCGGTAAATTAACTAATAAACCAATGGCGATTTTCCAAGACTAGGCAGGGAGAGATGGCTATGAGTGAGTTAACAAAGAAAAGGCTATTAGCTTCTAAATTCCAAACCCCTTGGTCCTGTCTTGAAGATAATGTGACAGTAGAAAGACATTCATATTCAAGAATTTCAGTCTCTTTGATTTCTTCTAAAATTGAGGTTCCAATAACCCAAATCAGCCATCCATATTCCCCTCAGTAAACTCTTTCTCCAAGTCACATGCTCGTTGCTGGACGATAGGATCCCAATTAAGATGGGTTGGCAAGAATCTAATACCAACTTTTTTTCAGTAGAGCATTTTTAAAAGAAGGTAAGGAATTCATTCTCAATCTTTTTTTCTGTGTTCAATATCTCTAGAACAGTGTTCTTCCTTCTTTTTTGATAGAATAATGCAACCGCTAACTTTCAAAATCTTCCTTCAACATCATTTTGCATTCCCAAACCATATTTTGAGACCAATAGGTTGAAGCTAAAAGATATTTTTAAACATTTTATCATCAAAGAACGTGAAATGGTTCATTCTATACTGATCAATTAGAAACGAACCGTAATTTCCTAATCTCAACTGTCGCGAATCAGAGAATTGGAGCATTTCTACCGAAAGAAATAACCAAAATTTAGACCAGCTATCATAAACAGCCAAATTCATCTTCCAGTTAGCAGAATCGAGGGAAAAAGAATACCAAGAAGAAGGCCCCTTCAATCAATAGCAATATAAGGGAAGCCATATGAAATAATGCAACAGAAACATGAGAATTGACCTTATAGGAAACATTTTGGCGTCACGAACTAAACCGAACATCCATCACCATGCCTTCGTGGTCTGCAAATCCATTTTGAAACAAAACCAAAATTGAGATGAGAATAAAAACTTCGTAAACCAGAAACAAAACGTAAAACTATCATCAAATAAGCTAAAAAAAGGCAATACTACCGCTGACCTAGAAGGAAAAGAGATGGAGAAACGCGCAAATCCACGATAAGGCGCGAAAACTCGAAATTCCCACAACTTCAAAAGGGAAGAGGCGAAATGGGAAGCGACTCGACAAGCGCAGAAGGAAGCAGGTCTTCCCCGCTTTGAATCGACACAGATTCCTAAGTCTCTTCGGGGTTGCGAAATTCGAGGGTTTGGCGCTTGAAGATGGCGGAGAAGCTGCACTCCGAGAGGAGTGACCAATTTGATCGATCCAATGGTTAATAAATGTTGGTTTTTATCCCTTACCTCTTCAACTTCGACCTTTGGATTTGCTCTTCGTACACTTCTCTTCTTTTTGCCTTCATTTCCTTCCTTAGTTGATAACGGAATGTCGGCACACAAATACATAAAATATGTTCCTTTTTAACGCACCGGCCCACTCAAAACACGGTAGACATTCCACGTTGGTTTGAGAGGAGAACAAAATTTCTCGTAAGGGTGTGGAAACCTTTGAAAATGTTACAAACGGTATCAGAGCTGGTCGAAGTAGGGCTCTACGTCTTCACAATAAACGCGTTTTAAAACCGTGAGTCTAAATACGTAACGGGTCAAAGCGGACCTTGTACTAGTCTAGTATGAATCTAGATTTCTAGGTCAATATTGGACGAGAGTATTGATAGTAATAATTGTGTATCTTTAATGAGGTGCGTGTCTTTCAATTCATATATAGCATCCAACATAGGTATTGATGTTGTACCGTTCGATCAAGACCAAAATCAAGAGGGACTTCAATATGCAATCTTACCCATGGTCGACTCGAGAAGTCCCCTTCCTCATTATGTAGATGCCCCAACCCCGCACTCCTCACCTTTAGTTTGAGTGAGTTCACGGGGCTTTTTACCCTTCTTGAGTTGCTTGGACTTGATGGGTCTCGGGCCTTAGTTTTGAACCATCCATAACATTGACGAGTCGTCCCTCTTTATTTTGGGTTGGGTCGTTGGTTTATTGAGGTGGGTTTTTGGACCCATACGTCATTGAGTGACATTATGGTGATGATGGGTTAGACGAACATGCACTTTTATGCACATAGTTCGTTCATTCAGCGACTATTATTGTTTGGGCAATGTCTATGTATAGTTAGTTTTGGTGCTCCATGATTGGGCATTCTCGTTGCTCGACCTTCCATTGATCCTAATACTAATTAGAAAGGTGTGTAGAGTCATTTCACGTGTCATTGTCATATATCTTAAAGGGATTGGACATTCTTTGAACGCATTACGTGATTCTTTAGAGTTTGTCTCCAAATTATGGGCTTAGGGAGTCGGTTGTGAACATCTATTTGGGAGTCGGTTTCACCAATAGGGTTTGCCTTCGTTTACCTCACATCCTTTAGTAGCCTTTGAATCAAGTCATTTTAGCCTCGATCTTGATCATACCTAATGGTTGGACAACTTTTTCACGGATGCGTGATTTTACGAGGCGGCGAGGCACGAAAAGGCTCTCACCATCAACCAAATATTTTGCCGCCCACGTCATCAGTTGCACACCAAAGTTCACTTATCAGTACAAGGGACAATTCTTCGAGGGCCACTCCATATCAAGGGATTGACAAATGGTTCGTTCTCTTTGGGAGAGTGGCTAGTTCTTAACGTGAACTCAGGCTAGGTGAGTAATTGTTCTCGCTTCTTGGTTAACTCTTCACACGTCACCAGCTCGACCCTTTTCTTTGTTTTGGCATGCAACTCTTCCATCGTGCAATTTCAAAGAATTTTACTCTACGTCGACTAGAGTGACTACCTAGTATACGAGGTCGTCTACTCAACACATGATTTTCTTAGTTTATACGCAACTTACTCCTGAGCCCAACAATGGTCGGCTCGGGGAGTCATTAGGGTTTAAGAGTTTTTCGAGCTTTCTTACTCTTTTCGGGAGGGTTGGTATTGTCCCTAAAACCACTCCTAATAAATTTTTATCTCTTATTCCCATTTATATTTTAATTTAAGATTAAAAAAAAAAAAAAAAAATTGGCTTTGAGTTTAGAGAGAGCCCAAAGGGTTCTAGGGTTCTTCAAGTTACAAGCCGCCTGTGTGCAGTCGGCTTCCCAAAACCCTAACTTGCTCCTTATATATAAATTCTCATAATCCTTCCTTCCTCCTCTCTACCGCTCACGAATTTACAATCTTCACACAGCCGAAGGCGTAGAACCAGAGCACACTAAGAAATGGCGGAGGGTCTTGTTCTGCGGGGCACAATGAGGGCTCACACCGACATGGTGACGGCCATAGCCACTCCGATTGATAATTCCGATATGATTGTCACATCTTCCCGTGATAAATCCATCATCTTGTGGCGCCTCACCAAGGAGGAGAAGACCTACGGTGTTCCTCAACGAAGACTCAACGGCCACTCTCACTTTGTTCAAGATGTTGTCCTCTCATCCGATGGTCAGTTCGCTCTCTCTGGTTCCTGGGACGGCGAGCTCCGCCTCTGGGACCTTGCCACTGGCGTCACATCCCGTCGATTTGTTGGACATTCTAAGGATGTTCTCTCTGTCGCTTTCTCCATCGACAATCGCCAGATCGTCTCGGCCTCTCGCGACCGAACCATTAAGCTATGGAACACTCTCGGTGAGTGCAAGTACACAATCCAGGATGGTGACGCTCACTCTGACTGGGTTAGCTGTGTCAGATTCAGCCCTAACACGCTCCAGCCAACGATTGTTTCGGCGTCTTGGGATAAGACTGTGAAAGTGTGGAACTTGACTAATTGCAAGTTGAGAGTCACTCTCGCCGGACACGGCGGTTATGTCAACACAGTGGCTGTTTCACCGGATGGTTCACTGTGCGCCAGCGGTGGCAAAGACGGAGTGATTTTGCTGTGGGATTTGGCTGAGGGTAAGAAGCTCTACTCCCTGGATGCCGGATCCATTATCCATGCTCTTTGTTTCAGCCCCAACAGGTACTGGCTATGTGCTGCTACTGAGAGCAGTATTAAGATCTGGGACTTGGAGAGCAAGAGTATTGTTGAGGACTTGAAAGTCGATTTGAAAACCGAAGCGGAGAAAACTGATGATACCCATGCTGCCACTACCAACAAGATTAAGGTATATTCATATTTTCTCTGTCATGTTGTACTTTTTATTTTTTTCAGTCCACCATGATACTCGAGGCATTTCAATTGTTTTTCTACGGTCGTTGACGATTGAACCATTTATTCTCGTTTTCTTGCAATTACCAATCACATTGTCTTAGTATTATGTCGTGTTATTAACGTTCAGCTTGCTTGTCTTGAAGTATGTAAGGGTTGTATAATTGGTATATCGTCCTACATTGTTTTCTGGAACTGCTTTTCAGAGCTTAATCATGACACTAAATACAGAGCCATCACTTTCCAACTTTCATATTGATTTCTTATTATTATTAACCACTGGAAGTGCATACATAATAGATTACTGATTTAGTCTTCCTTTCCTTCTGTAATTGTCTGGCGATTTTATTTGTACCTCTGAATATTTCATTTTTACTGGGTGAATGAAGTGAGTTTGGTTTATTTTATGCAAACTTAAGAGAATATGCATGCAATGATGAACAGATTTTGCTTTGTTTTTTTGGTCTTTAATAAGTTGCATAATGGTTTTTGCTGTTTTCTTTGACATTATAGATTCTAGTGTGATAATTCCTTCTAAATCGATTCTGATTGAAATTGTGGTATAGAAAGTTGGTCTTGACAACGTTCTGATTCTCTTTGTTTGAATGTTTGATCTGTGTTTCATAAGGGTGATTTTTGGATGGGGCGGACTTGGAAACAAGCGAAGTCTTTCATCATTTTTCAACATGTGCTTCGTTTGATGAGGGTTTTTCTGTGTATCTGATTCAAGTTTTATGATGGATTTGCAGGATATCTACTGCACAAGTTTGAGCTGGAGCGCAGATGGGAGCACATTGTTTAGCGGCTACACAGATGGAGTCATCAGAGTTTGGGGAATTGGTCGTTATTAGAAATATCAATGATTATTTGCAGATGCACTTTTTTGTTTCTATTTTGAGAAGAAAAACCTTATCAGTCTTTAGAATTTTCTTTAGGGTTTTGCTGGGAGTGATATGATGAATCATTTGGTTTTTAAATTTGATGTTGAAGATGATTTTTGAGGTCAACAATGTTTTGTCTTTGAGATACATGCCAAAATTCAGGGGTAAAAGTTTCTGTTATTTTCTTCCACCATCATAGTCTCTCACGGATATGTCCTGCCATATCTTCAAATTTAACTAATGCAGCATTTATAATCGAATGTTTTCGCATGAAACCTCTATAAGCCATAAACAAAGGCTTTCTTATTGATTGTGATCGAAGAAAAGACCAATTTGATGCTGTATAGTGTGATATAAACGTATTTGTAAGTTCCATTAAAAAATGAGCTAAATGTTGTGTGGCTTGATAAACTAGAACATTTTATGGCTCACACAATAAATTGAAAGCTTATAATCTACCCGAGTTTCAGTTTCACATGTGTTTAACCAAATCTCGGCTAAAAAAAATGAATATAGCTCTATAATAATTGATATGTACTTCTCTAGTAGCCAAAAGTTTGAATCCCGGAGAAAATAATAAAAACCTATACACATACTAAAGATGGTGAGAAATGTACAAAAAGAAGATTATCATCACTACCGGGCAACTCTTCAAAATTTGCTCGCTGTGAATATGGGGCAACCAGCACCCTTCTCCTCAAAGGGAAGGAAACCAGCTTTAAAAAATGGCCCACATAACTAAAGAAAATTTCCAACTCCTCTTCGCAAAATCAAAAATCAAATATATTCCGCAACTATAGAATCAAACCTCCTATAGTTTTAGCATTTAGCCATCATTTGCGCCGCCTTAGGAAGAAGCTTTGTTCCTACAGCCTTTCCATCCGACATCTCCATCAACTTCATGCATTGAAGTTGTTGCTTCAAATGTCTCAACAATGCAACATCTCTCCACTATGCGCTTAATGCTTTTTTCTCTTCAATTTATCCTTGAGAAGCAAGGCAAGGGTTGGATCATTGTCGTCATTATCAACTTCAGGGGGAGTGCTTGAACTGCCATCCACTTTCTTGTCATGTGTGGTTGTCGTCCTCTTCAATCTTTTTTGCAAAAAGCCCTGGAGAGTGCAGTCATCAACCTCTTCAACTGCTTCCATTGTTCCTAATGGACTTGTATTCGTACCGCTATGCTTTCTCTTCTTCGATTGATTACAACGATGAAGCTCATTCATCCCAGACATCTCCAGCTCTGCTTGTTGACAAGAAACCAACGAGTCCTGGCTCTTATTTGATCTTTTGCTATTTTTCTTCCTTCTGCCTTGGGGCTTGCAAACCCCATGGCTTTTATCTGTGAATTCATCCACAGAATAGCTATCAACACCTTCACTGTCAGTTGTCCTGAGTTCTAAGCAACTTTGAGGTAATGAGAAACTGTTACTGTCATCCAGATCTTTGTCTGCAACATTCACGCCCTTCGTTTCTATAATATCATCCGCAGTAATACTAGCCAGCAACGTTGTATCAGGAGGAGTAGAAGGGTTATATTCGTCCATGTCATTAGTCATTTCTGACAGTACGGACACTCCAGAAGATCCGGTAGAGTTTTGATTTTCTTCTTGTTCTGAAAAGCATACAACTCCTTCAGAATGCATCTCTGCAGCTTTGTTCTCAAATACCTCCATACCATTCTCATCAACAGTCTCAGGGCAGTCACTGTTGATCCTCTCTGCTGGTTCCTTGCAATTCAACTGCACCTCAAGGCTCCGAGTGTCCGAATTCTGTTCTGCACATCTCTCACTATTACAACCTATCTTCGGAGCCCCTTTCCTCCTAGTGGTATATGCTCCATGTCTAGTTCGTTTTCTTTGAGGTTTTGTAGATTTAACCTCTGGGACAGAAGATGTATTATTTGCAAAATCCACCTGAGCCGTTTCATCAGCTTGATTCCTCTGGTTATTTGATTTCATCTTCTTTGGAGCATCACTGTAGAAAAAAATATGAAGTTCAATCAATTTGCAAACTCCAACATGCATGCTAATGCAGGAAACATCAAGAAAGAACTACCAAGAACTTCCATGCATGACTATAGATTTCCTCCACTAAAAGAAACAGAAAACAAAAAGAAGGCACGACCATGAATCAATAAAGAAAAAGCATAACCTACCCATTAGCACTCTTTTCATTCCTTGACACTGGCATCCTTCTGAAGACCAAGGAATGCAAGTAAAAATTAGAATCTTGAAATCAAAACAAACATATATACATGTGTATGTATGTATATATACGAGTATAAGAAAGTAGATTAAAAGGGTCATATTCTAACTAACCTCATCCTCACATTTCTTTTTGGGGCAGTTTCTGGATCATCAGTATTACATAATAAATGTGAATTTGGTACAGGTCGAAAGTCAGTAGGACCAAGAGCAGGCCGCTCTGATTCCCTATCAACAAAGTTGCTGATAAGAGCAACCTTCTGAATCTTTCTAGCTTCCTGGAGCAAAGGAACTTGATTGGGAAATAACTTCTTCCATCTCCTATTATGAAGAGAAACATGATTAAAAATAATAGAAATAAGAGAAGTCCGAACATTTTAAAGTAGCACCGGGCATTTACGAACTTCTTTCTATTGAATACAAAGCTTTGAATCGACGGGAATTTAAAGACTTAATCTGTAGACCATTACCTCCGGCACTCATTATCTGTACGTGATGGCACGCATGCAGCTACCTTAGCCCAGCTATATCCATGTTCCTGAATTGCTATCTCTAGCCTTAAATCCTCCTCTTCTGTCCATTCACATCTTCTCAAGGAAGGATCTAAACAATTGAACCATCTGCCATCACAATTAATAAGAAGTCAAATCAAAGCTAATAACTAATTGCTTGTCTATCAGACAAACAATATGCATTAAGCTTCTCTTTCATACTCTGGTTAGGTAGACAATTTAAATAATTGAAGTTAAAGGAGTCGAAGAGATTGTTGGTTTGATGCTGGTTTATGGTTGTGCATTGGCTTGTCAAACTAAATCCTTTAGTGAAAACATTTATATATGATATTACGTATATAAATCAAAGCCAATAGTAGACCTTTCTGGATGCTTTCTTAAATTCATTTTGGCATTCAGGCTTGAGTTAATGGAACTTATCCCCCCTCACCCAAAACAAAAAAAATGAAAAACAGAAAAATAGGCATGAAGCAAATAAAAACAGTGCATAAAATAGGCAACTTAACACACCTTTCTCTGCATTGAACTTGATTTCGGCCAGGTAAAAATTCTGCTTTCTTGTTCCAATTTTTAGGCCCAAAAAGCAGTACAGCAATTTTCAAGCGACTGTCTTCATCTGGAGTGAAATAGCCTCTTTTTGTCCTAGCTGGATCAAGGGATTTTTTCCACCTGCACAAAAGAAGAAATTCATTATAGCAGTTGAATGACTGCACTAGAAAACCAACCATATGTCACAGAACAATACAACGATGAAAATTCATAGTATCATTCAAATATCATAGTGTTTCCCTGAACTTCTGTTCCTTCCAAAAATGAAACTGAAAGTGAATAAAATATAATGGTAAACAGATAACTGATAGGAACGCTATAAGGGTATTATTGGGACATTAAGGGTATATTAGTAATTAGATTGGGAGTTTGTTGTGGTATTCAGTTATAAATAGAGGGAAGGGGAAAGGAAGAAGTTGGATAATTCGTTTCAAGGTTTTAGTCTTGAGGAGTGGGAGGTTTAGAGTATATTTCAATATAGTTAGGCTCTAAACAGAACTTAAGCCTATGGATATGGTAAGATCTCTCTAAACATCTCAAGCCTTTGCAATGAACATTTTCTTTCATATCGAGAAACGCAAGGATGAACTGGAGATAATGTAACTAAGACTAACCTATTAGAGCACTGTGGACCAGTTCGCCCTTCCAAAGTAGAAGCTACGGCCTGCCAATCTCCCTCACCAAATATAGCAACAGCAGATCGAAGTTTATCATCCTCATCTTTAGTCCACTCACTCTTTAATATGGAAGCGTTTAAACTCCTTTGGTACCGAGACAAGCACTGAAAAGGAGTTCTGTTTGTTCCCAACGAAACTGCCAGTTCAATCCAGTTATTCAATCCTTTCTGTTGGATAGTAAACAAAAGATTCTTATCCTCACTTGTAGTCCATGAATTCCGGTTAATTAGGGGATCTTCAAAATTCAACCACCTGGAAGGATTATCAATGAAAATCATCAACTCAGAAAACATACATTGAAAATGTGTCATTCAAGGGAATATGAGACATCACAAATGTCTGTGACGATTGTCATCACAGACATATTGAAGACCACTGTCTGAATAAGGCATTTGTTACAAGTTGGTCCCACCTGTACTATAATATGAAGACCTCGCACTATTATTCAAAAACAATAATGTTCAATATATCTGTGATGATGATCGTCATAGACCTCTGCGATGCTGATTGAAGTTGGCATGCTTCAAAGAAAATCAATATGTACTTGGTCAAGAACTGAACAGATTTATACCAGAACAAAAGCCTCTGTATTGAGAAAATAATAATCTACCAAATTGAAGGTAAAATAATACAATCATCAACAAACAATTTCGTTCAAGCCTGGTTGAGGAAATCAGTGACATATGATGTAGCCTCAAATTCTTAGGGATAACAGCTTAAGGGCCAAAATTCTTGAAACATGACATGCTCATCTTTCAAATATTTCTTGAAAGGATCTTCTATAGTATTGTTTTCACATCAAGAAAAGTTGGGCAAAGTACTAGCGGACTATGTTGCTTAACTTGGAAGTATTATCTGCTCCTTTAAAAAAAAACAAGGTTAAATATATCTCATTTACAATTTAGTCATAAGGTTTTAGAAGTCTCAACTTTATCCTTTATTCTTTTATGTATTAGGTTTATTCAAGCAAGTCCTAACTATCCATAAATGTTAAAAGTAATGGTATTCAAGCAACTTGTGCCCCGTCTCAGATATTAAATAAAAAATTGTACTGTTTTCAAAATACAATAGGTAACCCATTTATATCAAGTGGATAACCTTCCAGTTTTATAGATGTCGTGTCTAAAGCATTAAATTAAAACATTTAGCAGTTCCAACAAAGTTTATAAAATTGAGTTTAATATCAAATCATCAAAATTGGTCGATATACCCAATTTGGTAAGATAGAAATGGCTTAATTGAAAA